ATCGAGAGTGGATCAATACGGCAAAGGTAGCGGTTTTATAGCTTTCAGTTGTTTCTCGGCTAAAAAACGAACATCCAACTTGTGCTATCTATACTTGCTTATTAAGACGCATAAACTTACTTCTAGTGATGATCTTGCGTCCATCGACCCTTCGTAATTAAAGGTTCGACCACTCACTTGTTGTTGTATAGGTGAGCCAACAAAAAGAAAAGCGTGTTCTGTTCTCCAAAACTTATCTCGAGCCAAGTGTTAAAGTTCACACCAACCCATTTCCCCAATAACAAAATATTTCGAGACCATCTACGGTGCGCGCAAGGAAACAGTACGCCTATAATGGATGTTACCTCACTTCATACCAATGTGTCGAATAACTCTGTAATGCAAACCCTTCGCCAGTGAAAATGTATGGCTTGTCGAGTGCGCAGCTAATGACTTTCTTAAAACAATGTTTTAGTTTCAATGATGCTGAGATATTTGCAAAACTCTGGACCGCTGGTGTATGCGGTGGGGAACGAACACGCGCTGTTGTCCTTACCGGGTAGCGGCGCACTTCACCACCACACCATCCGGGTCCTTCGCTCTGCCTGTCTCTCAGCTAGTTCTGTCGATCTTTTTGCCATCAGCAATCACCCGTCAACGAGATTGATCTGAGGAGCCCAAATCGGCATTGAACCCAGTTAAGCTGAGGCTTAGTTATAATCACAATATTAACCCTTTCATTTACTGCCTTTTTCTTTTTAATGGCAGCGTATGTTGCGAAATATAACTCGTATGTAATTGGGTAATATTGCCGAATTGGGATCCCCAGATCAATCCCGTTGACGGGTGATTGCTGATGGCAAAAAGATCGATAGAACTAGCTGAGAGACAGGCAACACGAATGACCCGGATGGTGTGGTGGTGAAGTGCGCCGCTCCCCGGTAAGGACAACAGCGCGTGTTCGTTCCCCACCGCATACACCTGCAGTCCGGTGTTTTGCAAATATCTCAGAATCACTGAAGTTATATTTCACAATGTACACCCTGCCGTTAAAAAGAATAGGTAGTAAATAATACGTTAAAATGTTTTAGTTGTTCAGTGTTTAGATGCTCTGGAAAATATATTGCACAAATTAGAGGGTTAGCCATGGGAGAGCGTTTATCACAAAGCCTTGCCATCGCCTTTGTATCTAAGGTGGAAGCTCCAGTTCTCGATCGCCGGTCCTTACTCTACTGCCGGTACATAGATGACTGCTTCATCGCCTGTTCCACACAACAACGGATGGACGAGTGTTTCAATTGCTAAATAGACAGACACGAGGTTGTTATTATGGGATTTATTAGGATACAATAGCTGACGTTTCGGCGATTTCGCCTTCTTCAGAGCCGTTTATTTGTTGTAAGTATTTAAGTTAGTTGATGGATAGCAGCCGCACAGAGTAATACATGGGCGAGGACTGAGCTAACTCCAACTAACTTAAATACTTACAACAAATAAACGACTCTGAAGAAGGCGGAATCGCCAAAACGTCATCCATTGACCAACAACAGCAACGACGACGTCAACAACAACAACAACAACAACAACAGCGACAACCATACCAATCTCGCATCAGCTGAACAAGGTTAGTTCATGAGAAAATACAGATAAATATATCGATTGTTTATGCCGAGGTTCATGGAAAGTCGGTCTTTTGACTTATGTCAGGAAGATTTCGAGCTGTATGCTTTGACGTGGCGAAGTAATACTATTGTAAACCAACTTTAATTTAACCTCGGTATGAGTGGACAATGTACCTTATTTCATTGTTAAGCTAGAGCAAGATTGTTACCAGACCAGAGTTTATTCGGCTAATGCTTCGAAGCCTTCATTAGAACTGCCGATCCGAGTCGATAGCTCACAGTAGGTTGTCTTCTCGATGTGTTGGCCAAATAAATGTTTCGTAACAACCTCATGTTTTCTTATCAATGAAATAAGGTACATTTTGTGCTTTAAATTTTTGCAATAAATGCGTTCTTGAGAGAAGTTGAGTTGGAAGATGTTGAACTCTCTAACTTTCCCATGTTATCTAAACCAGAAGGTTCTATGCTTAGGTCTTTATTTGTATAAATCCTTTGTCTCGAATTAAGAAATATTGTCGTTTCAACCGCTGAAGCTGAAGACTATTGAAGGACCACAGTTTTACGACTCGTAACTGTCGACCTGCTCGCTAACCGGCGCCATTATTGTCGACCAACAGAATCCATTCCAGAAATGGGAAATGGATTGTTGCTCCTAAGAATTGCGAAACAGGTCCATTTAACTAGTCAAAATGGATTGTCCTAAGATTCTGATATGTAAATTTGGCATTTGTGTGAGTGGATCAGTAACCCTCCAGTTTTCTGTCCTTTCATAGCTTTCCCCACTACGGTGCTTATTCGTTACGGTGTTTTTATTGGACATTTTCTATTAGTTGTTATCAACTGCTGTTAAACAATAATTTAACCTCAAGCGGTCGGTGCAAGCCTTAATTGAGTCGCTGTCCTTAAATTTTTACTATTCCAAACCACTGAAAGAAAGTTTTAATATGCCACTTCCAACACGCCCACAGTTTCTGAATGGTGTTCGTCCTCACTCCGAATGGCTGAAGCGATCAGTCACAGTGGATTACCGTGCGATTGACCTTGCTGCAGCTGAACGGAGGATCAGAAACGACAGAGACCTCTGACCTTTCTCGGACAACGACGAAAGTGCGTCGTCATCACTCAAACGCACTGCTGGAGACTTGGCCTCAACCGTTATTCTAATTAATCCCATAGAGATCGGTTTTCTCCAGACGGACAACTGTGAGAAACAACAGTCCTCTGTGAATTGCAGGCAGTGGAAACCTCAACGAGCAAAGAGATCCTAAAGTGGCAGGTGTTTTCATCCTCTTAGTGTCAACTCGCAGCGTCCAAATGTCGAGCATCAAGAAAGGAGAATAAGGAAATATCGTGGCCATCGTTTAACGCTCCTTTTGTGCTTGTCATCAGCTGACTTGTTGTTAACAATACTAATAAGAAATCATCTCTAGTATTAGGTTATATTCCCACAATTCTCTACAAGCTCGCTGTGGGCAAGGGCTCCGCGATACCAAAAATCGAAAAGCGGTGGACGGCGTCCGTTTTATCCCACCAAAGCCTTTCAACATGGACTTGAAATTTCGAAAACTCTGCAAAAAGTTGGCTAATTTTAGAAATTCTGGCAAAAACCTCAGCCCTAAGCTGCCAAATTTCTTCACTGCCTCTCCTTCATCTTGCTTATAGCTGCCTGCGACTATCAGTGGTGATGGGAGATTCGGAACAGAACAGCTATCGTTTAGCTTCGAGAGTTCAGGGAAGAAAGATTTTGCCCAACAAACATATTACCGGTGAAATGAAAATTGTGCTGTCCCAGCGCTCATTGTGTTCTAGGGCTTACCACGGCAGAAGATGCAGATATTTCGTGGAATTCGTAAACCTCTCTTTTTTTCTGAAAATTTGCAGAATTTCCCCCACATTGTTTCTAACTACTATTAACCAGTTTCATTCCAAGTCTGCCGAGGAAATGATTATTATTTATTTCTGTCATTTTACGTGACCTATCTCCACATCTACTGGATGGAACATAGCACTCCTTGCATTCGGTTCGCTTCCTCGCGATCACCATCAACAAAGGTCATTAAACTCTTCCTGTGTGGCTTCGGCTACTGCCTAAGGGATTTCCACTCGTCACGAATGTCGCTGAACGCTCGTAGAGTCGATTATCCCCGCAATCTTGAGATCCCCGTCTTATAGTCTTCCCGCGCAGGTCGGAGTCAGTAATATAGCTACAGAAAACTTTAGAAAAGAATTTATTTTCTCATTTGAAAGTGAATGCACGAAACATATGGCTACTTCTCAAGGTGAAAAATTGGCGGATGGTTTTATAAAAAGAGTCGTGTTTCCCACTCTCACATAGTTCCCTTTAAACTTCAGCGAACGCTGGATTTGCTTCTTTAGAAGACCAAAGGCAGCTATTTTCTTCGAACACGAGCATCGAATAGTTTTAACAAGAAATCCGAGAACTGAGACAACCTAGAGAGTTTTGGAAATGTAGGAGCAATGTATTCTGACATTTCTCTATAGCGTTAAGTTGACGAGATGTAGAGTCTTCTTCGGTTGTGAAAAGGATGTCATCAGCTTTATTTGATCAAAGGCGAACAAACACGATTTCCTACTAAGCGATTCTTTAAGCGATTTCGGCAAAGAGTACTGTGGCTCAGAGTATCACAAATAATGTTGAATTGAATCAGGTTCGGCCACTGCTCGAATTTACAAAGTTCTGATGATATCGGCTTACTGTCCCGACTAAAAGGACGTGAAAGTTGTGGCTTACTTTTTTTCCCGTTGGCGATTTTTATTTCAAATAAGACCGTTTTATCTAAAATTTAAATAATTATTTGTTAGCGCATTGAGAGCGAATGATATAGGACCAGGTGTAGGAGGACGTAATGGCGTTTGTCTTCAGACGACACAAAATGAGCTATGATACCTTCCTAATTTGCGGCCAACGAAAGGCCTTACGTCATTTCACCTGGCTAACGATTCGTCGGTCCACTTCAGGAAGTAAGTACTTGGATTAATCTGCAAATATATTTAGTTGGATCCACTCACGGAGTATTCCGAGCCAAGTATTACTTCCAATTATTTGCAATTTATTACTTACAAGTTATGGTAAGGATTAATGTGGTCGTCCAAGCAAAACTCATCATGACAGTAATGATGATCGAGGTGACGATTCTAATGATGATGATGGCAGTAATCATAAAAGTTATAGCAGTAACGATGTCGATGAGGATAATGATGTTGGCGGCGCTGATGTTACTGCGAGTAGCAGCCGTCTGAAAAAACCATAAGACTACAGTTATCTACTGAGATCTGGTGACTTTACGACTTGTGAAAAGTCGTTTGTTTATATGTGCATTCCGATCTATGGACTTGCCTCTCATGTCTCTGCCAACTTTAAACCAACAAACACTTCAGATGCGTTCGCATCCTCATCGAGGTCTCATTGCCATCACTTTAGACGAGCCGCCTTGTTCATTAAGAGCCGGCCAATCTGCTGGTAACGGGATGATCTTGCCATTGTTCGCTCGGGCGCATTTGCATATCCAGGCCAAAAAGATCGGTACGGAAGCGTCGAAGCAGCAAAACGGCAGCCTAAAATATGATCCAGCTGTTTGTAGAGCTCCCTTTGTGGACGATCCGCTGAAGACAAATGGATTTTGCTTGCACTTTGAATGAGGGCGATAACAATAACGGCGTTATTGCTTCATTTTTCGTAAAAGGAATTGCTTCCAAAGCATTTTAAAACATAATTCTTGGCTCTTGATTGTTTACGGAACGAGTTCAGTAAGGAACTAAAGGACCCACGTCTATGTTCGTGCTGTAGACTCTTCATGCGGTAAATTTATTTAATTATATGATTCGACTCCACATTCTGTGCACATCTATTCCATTGTTTCTTCAAATTTCCGTTAGGCATCTTGCATCAGTCAGCTATGAAACTGTTCGAATGTTCACTGTTCACTAGCATGTTCAGCTGCTTTAGCTGCAGCTTGGAGATTATCATGAATATCATTATAATTCCGGCCGAGTTGATTCTCTCCGGAATCTTCGGGGAGATCCAGCAAAGTTTTGCTAAGCCTCAACCACAGGTAGTCGCCGGCTTTATGGATCAAAGAGATCTTTCCTTAATGAAGTCAGGTACCAAGTTGGTAACTCTGGACAGATGGGTAGCATGATCAACCTGATACCAAATCGAAGAAGGGTGCACAAGTTTGTAGCACGAGGTCTCTTAACCACTGCGCTTGGTCCATACTTTTTACAACTAACCGATTTAAATCTGAAGATCTGTACAAAAATGCAATTTCTGAGAAAGTAACGAAGTCGAAGTTAATGTTGATATAACGTTAACCGTTGGCTGTGTGTCGTTTTCCCGAGCTACCCTCGTTTGGGCGTTCCCAGGTACTAACTATGGGCAGTCACCCATACGCAAATAGGTCGGAAGTAGCTATTCTCAAATCGAAAAACTGTGGACAACGGCTTACAAAGTGCCTAATCAATTAAGTAGGCGCTGTGTATAAAAGGACAAGTAGACTTCTCCGCAAATATGACAATGATCAGGAATGAAGTCAGCATACATTTTGTTAATAGACTGTTTTAAACAGATCTAAGCTGTAGAAGGTTGGAAACAGAATGATGAAGGAACGCGCTATTGTCCTTTCCGGTGAGTAACGTGCTCACCACACCATGCGGTCCTTCGTTACGCCTCTCTCTGAGCTAGTTCTATCGATCACTGTCATCAACAATCACCCATCAACAGAATTGATCTGGGGAGCCTAAATCGACATTGAACTCAGTTAATCTGAGTCCATAGTTTAAATTCAAATGTTGACTTTTTATTGCTGATGGCAATGATCGATAGAACTAGTTAAGAGACAGGCGAAATGAAGGACCCACATGGTGTGGTGGTGAGCTCGTTACTCCCGGAAAGGACAATAGCGCTTTCGTTCCCCACCACAGACACCTGCGGTCTGGAGTTTTGAAAATGTCTCAGCATTATTGTGGTTGTTTCACAAATATCCTGCCGTAAAAACTAGTAGAAGACAGTAACTATAAAGTCAGCAGTATGGTGAAGGTTCTTATTCTTATTTAGGTGATAAGTATTTATGTTTGCAAAGTAGCAACAGTCAATAAGAAGCTCTTAAAAGAAAATCGTTTAATTTCCCTTCTTGCGGTGATCTTGATGTAGCACTAAACAAGTTAACCCTAGCTTGCAACGAGCCAACAATTTTTGCTTTGGTCGTCACCATACTTTATTAATTGTTAAAAAAAATAGTAAGCTTGGAGCAAAAGATGAACTAAGAAGGCGCGTTCGCTGCTGAATTCCACCTTTGTTATCGACGACGGGTTCTTCGCCCAACTACGAACGATAGTCGAATGAGTGTTTTTAGATTTTCCATCACCCGTGTACCACATAACGCCGTTAATCATAGAAAATAACTCCGACCAGTTTCGCTGTGAAAACTTCGATGACTATACGTTTCCTATTATTTCGAGGTTCTACCGCATTGACAACGTGTCTTGAATAGGTCGGGAATTCTGCGCGGATGTTTAAGTCTTTCATCAGTCAAGGCAATCGGATCGTAGGAAAAATTCGGAGTCACTCAAGTCTGAATCGACCGAATCGTTCAAGTTGCTAAGCGGCAGTATGACCAATAAAGTCTGAATGTAAGTCATTTATGTCTAGATGTGCTACGAGATAAGTTCTACAGAGTGGAATGAGTGTTCAGATTCACTATGAATCCAAAAAGTCGTAAAATAGTTAGAAGAGGCGATTTCCAGAAAATTAGCAGAGATTGCGATACGCACAGACTCGAGCAAAATTTAGAGCCACCATGAGATATATTAGCTTATTAATGCTGCAGATATATTATACTTAAGGGTTAGTGTGTTTACACATATCTGTATATGTTTTCTAAGTGGTTTTGCTTACCAACTCACAGATTCTTCAAAAAACATGAGCTGGCTTCTAAGAACAACAAGGGAAATCTGGGTTGTTTTTCGTTCTGAGGCAGAAACATCCCTCACTCATTTAAAAACGCCGTCGTCTCCATCATGAAGTGGAGGACATGTAGAAAGCGATGAGGGGTTGAAAGAAACTGTTTTTTGAATCTTTGTTATACGATTATGGTAGGTGAGCGCTTTTTTCTTCCCAAGCTACGGAGAAGGCAAACTTTCCTAGCGGTGAAGAAAGCAAAATTCACCGAAACCTAAGGCAATGTGGAATAGTAAAAAAACTCTCAAGAAAACTCTAACTTAAGAGATACTTTATTTGAGCGAAGATTTACAAATAACATTCGAATAACACTAGAAATTCATGCCACTGTCAGAAATAGTTGAAATATAAACCTCGTGAACAACCCAAGGTTGTGGAATAGTATTTAACCGTTTCTTCAGTACGCTTAAAACTACACAATTTTCAAGATCAGAGTTTGGTCACCTATGTGCTCTAGACACTTTTGAGAAACAATGTAGCGTTGATGGGAAAGAGTGCGTTCTGCCGTGCTGTACTGAGCAGTTCTGCCGATCAGGACTACGTGACGTCGAGGGCTCTCTCGGTGGTCGACGACGTACGCGCAATAATTGTTAATTATCGCCATCACAGATGTTCTTAGTGGCTCATCCCATTGTTATCGACCGAATGTCGACCAATTCATCGTCACGGTGCTTGTCACTCGAAAAACACAAAAACACTGTTCTTAATCATTCACAAACATACATTAGTATGTCTACGTGCTTAAGCGGCTTAGATGTGGTTTAGTGAAAACGATGAGTGTCAAGGATTATGCTACTATGACAATAGTAACAAGTTTTTCACCACAGAATGTCATTCATCATCTCATTGGTCCTTCGTTTTTTCTTGATTCTTCTATAGTCCTCTTGCTCAAACTCTCTGCGCACTTTTTCCATCTCTATTTCTTGGACTTTTTCACTCTATTTCTAATTTCTTCTCTTCCGCGCACTACACCGAGGACCATTGTTTCCTCGCAGTAACTTCATTGAGCATGGAACATTTGAGATAAAAATGTAATTTTTCAGCGATAGTCGAATTTCTCCACCAACATATCAGGGATCTAAAAGGGAGAAACTGCAGAAAAAATGAGGATCCAACAAAAAACAGCCATCTGCTTGACATTTGCCAGCACGCCATTAGTCGGACAGGGATGTTATTTTCTCTGGAATTTGGAAATCTCAAAAGAAGTCCTCCAACAGTTAGCTCATTGCAAATTGAAAAACCACGATGTTCCAATTTCTTCAACGATGAAACGGAAGTTCTAAGCTTTAGGTTAAGGTGTAAAGCATTGCACGAGCACTTAGCGGTGTTAATTTCGTAAATGGGTAACACCAATGACCAGTCACAAGACTGATACAGAAATTTAGATGGCAAGTGTTTAAATGTTTTGTGAGAGCATCAGTACTTCTTCTTTTCACCTCATAGTCCTGTAACCTTTAAATGTAGTCAGGTTTATCTCTGTTTTGATCCAACTGCTGTTTGACGAGATCGATGGGGTGCCCTCCTCACAAAAACATCCAACTCCTTGGATGTAGTTTAATATAGAGCCCAAAGACAGCCGTCCTAGGCAGTCGTAGATCGTACTCACTAACAGCAGTGCACTCTATTGTGAATCGAAGAGAACGTAGTCGCTCCGTGATCAGGATTCTTTCAGAACCCCGAATTTTACGATTTTCGATCGAATGATAGACAATTCTATTACAACGTGACTCGAATGAAAGGAAACTAAACAAAGTAAATCGCTGATTTTCCAATGAATCTTGTAATATTTACAGCTCCATGATGTGCATATAATTCACAAAGCCATATCGTTTCCAATCTGACTTTTGCTAAAGACGATGTAATAATTGAAACTCTGTGTGATGTTGAATGATGCTGAGATATTTGCAAAACTCCGGACCGCAGGTGTCTGCGGTGGGGAACGAACGCGCTACCACCCTTTCCGAGGGTTAACGCGTTAATCACCACACCATGCAGGTTCTTTGTTTCGCCTGTCTCTCAGCTAGTTCTATCGATCAGTGGCATCAGCAATCAGCCGTCAGCGGAGTTAATCTGGCGAACTCAAATCGGCAATGAGGATTAAATTAAAATAGTTAGATCATTAAAAAGAGTAGGCAGTAAATAATAAGCTGAAATCTGTGTGATGTTATGAAAGTGTAAAAAATTCTAAGAATCACATGCAGTCGGCCTCATCGAAATCACCGAGAACATATCCGCCCATCCTGATGATGTGTAAACAAACTCCTCTATTTAAATTTTCGAATATTTGATTACTTAGAAGGATATTCGAGAAGATGAAAAACAAACGTCAGCCAGTCGCTTGGACAAAAATAAGACGGGTTTCTATCCATCGAAGGTCACGCAATGACAGATTGTGACACAATTCTTCGCTTCTTAACTGCTTTCACCTAATAACATTATGCGCTTGAAACATGAAATGAACGATTTTTTGCAAACTTCCAGTTCTACTCACCGTCGTAAATTTTCTTGACGCTTTTTTCATTCTTTCTTCGATTCATTCGGTCTCTTTCTATTCGTACGTAAATGAACCTCCTATCTACCCGCCCACTTCGTTCATCGGCCCCACCCACACTCTCAACTACCCTGCTCCTTCTTCCTCTCCACCTCCATCATCATCTACTCATGACGGTCTTAGTTGGTGTGA